GAACCTTTTTGAACGTAAACTGCAAACTTTGAACCTACACAACACAAATGAAGTGAATCGGAAGACAAAATTAAACTAGAACGCCTCAACTGCACTAAGAGGAGCAAAAAAAGAATAAAAAAATTTCAAAGCCACATCGGAGCATGGCACGAGAGAGCGCCAACCGACACACAGAAGCACATGTAATATAAATTGTAGAAGAAGAAGTAAAAGAAAATTTTCATTCATGTGATATTTTTGATGTTATGTCATTCGATAATATTTTTTTCCTTGCTCCGCTCTGCGTCTGTTCAGAAGAAAATGAAGCAAGCAAGTAAGCAACATAGAATGAACATATTTTATGTCTCACATATTCATTTAGTGGAAAGATATGGATATAAAATGAAATAAGGAGAAAATTTAGATGCTCATATGCTTGTGGCTTCATTGAATCAATGTTTGCGCCTTCTGGTTCCTACTTTTTTCGTTTTATTGGAGTGATATGAGAAGGAAGTTTGGGTATGAAGTTGCAGAAGGCTGTAATTTTCTTATCAAGTGCATCTAAACATTTTTATTATTTTTACCGACCTTGTTGTGGCTTTACTCAACTATTAATTTTGATATAATGATAAATAAAAATGAAATTATAGGGAAATTATTTTAGGGACATTTTCAATCTTGATTGGGCTGCTACTATATTCCCGATCGGCACACATTGAAATTCATTGAACCGCGGCCATGTGACAAACATTTCGATGTGTGCCGATCGGGATTGCTTTATTCAAAAACTTGATTTAAAGACATTTAAGTCAAGATTTTTAACAAATTATTGCAATACAAGAGAAAGTATATCATTGCGACCAAAAGTGCCCACAATACATCTTCTAATTGCCATTTTCATTCAATCGATCTTGAAATTTATGGAGTAATAAATTTTTTATACGATTTTAATTGCTTTCGGTCAATATAATTTCTGAAGAACGTCAAATTTGATGCAAGAAAATCTTCAAAGAGGGGGAAACCGGGAGGAAGTGAGGAAATCTGGTCTATAAATTTTCAGTAAAATATATAGAAAGCTATTAAGTAGAGAGTCAGTCATTAAGGTTTTTTGGAATATAAAGAAGGGAAAAAGCTTGAAGCAGTGAAAATTAACCTAGCTTTTTAAACAAGAGGCACAATTTTGACTTAATCTATTGTACCTAACCCTTTGGGCTTAATGTTTGTAGTGCAATCTGAACCAACTTTTGAGAAACACTGTAATTGAAGGGATCCTGGGTAGGGTTTCTGAAAAACGGCATTTTCGAAAACGGCCGTTTTCCGTTTTTTATTTTCAAAAACGGCCGTTAACGGGCCGTTTTAAGTTTTTTAAATACCCAAATATAAATGAAATATTCCTCAAAAGATAAAGAATTGCTGTTCTATATAGATAATATGTAGAAAGTCTTAAGTTCTATTTATATTTATTATAACTATTTATTCATTTTATTATAATAGAACTTAAGAAAAACAAGAGCATTTAGTGATGCATCAGCCAGCCTTGAACGAATCTTTGTGCAAAAATTATTGCAGATTGAAAATATTCGCTCAACATCTGTAATAGTCGGCTTAATACACAACAAAGCATCATAAAGTTTTTGAAGATTTTCCGATCGATTTCCTGTATTTTTCATAAAAATTGATAAAAATCAAATATGAAAAACCCGTTGTAAATTCTTGAGTTCAGATTTTGATTTGTTGTATTTAAACAACAAACAAAACTGGACTCGCAACTATGATTACATTTCTGATTCTAATATACTACTTGAAATGAGATTTTCAAACTTTCCAGGCAATCCATAATAATAAATCTCAATTGCAAAAACTTTTAACTGTTTTTGAGAATAATTTTTAAAAGAAATAAACAAAAAAAATTTTTAAAATTACATTGTATGAACTATGAGAAAACGGAAAAACGGAATGAAAAACGGCCGTTTTCCGTTTTCAATTTTTGTGCCGTTAACGGCCGTTTTCCGTTTTTCGTTAACGGCTTCAGAAACCCTAAGGGATCCTGGGAATACAAAGATGTTTTGTGAATCTTAAGATTTCTTTGAGGTTCTATCAGTCAGTGGTAGGGTGACCATCTGCGTAGTTTTACAACGGACCGGTCTGTATTTCAAAACCCTGTCCTGTATAAATTTGAAAATTTTGTTCACGGTCCTGTATTTTTTCACGAAAATTTCCGTTAATTTTCAAATTTTCCTCTGTGTCCTGTATTTTCATAAAAATTAGATGGTCACCCTAGTCAGTGGGAGCTGGTTGTTCATCAAAATCATTTAAACAATACACATTAGACCCCCTTTTTTATTACAAAGTGTTCATTGTTTACCAGAACCTCTCTGGGTCCAACGTATGACATCATTTTTAAATAACTCAGGTGGTCAGAGTCATCTCAGGCCTTCCCAATGTAATCTAAAACCCCGAAATCAGTGTTGATACTTAGCTCTTGAATTTAAAAAGGTGGACCTTAGCGTAGCCAACTTGAAATCAAAGGCAGAAGCCTTTGCCTTTGTCAAAGGTCATTATTTTGCCCTTGCCTTTGGGATCGTTCACTTATGACGTCCATTAAAAAACCTGATTTTTAGAACCCCCTCCCCCCTCTGTCACAAAAATTCTATAGAAAAAAATTTCCATTGCTTGAACTGTCACAAAATTTTAGACCCCCCTGCCCCCCTAAATGTCGGACGTAATAAGTGAACGGCCCCTTTATTGTGCCTTTGCAAAGGCATGACTTTGCTAGATCAAAAGCAAAATCTGGGAGAAGGCAATTTTGTATCAACACTGTCCAAAATCAAAGACGACTTTAAGATTTCTATTTTATGCTTAAATAAATGAAAAATTTAAAAAAAGATTCCAAGATATTAAATGTTTTACATCCTAACCTCCAACCTTCCTCAAAAATCCATCACAAAGCCAACATAATTAACTTCCAAAATCAAAAGCTTTTCATTTAATCCACTTGAACCAAGCAAATCAGTCACAACGGAAGCTCACACTCTTCCTGTCTCAATAAATCATCTCGAACCAGCAACTCGAGCTTCCTTAATGAGCATTTTGCTCACAGTAAATTAACATTAAATCTCTGAAGCCTCTCAGCATCATCACGTCTCAATCTACTGTCACATTGACAGTCATTTGTAATATTTTTTTTGTTCTCGTTTTTTTTTAATACGGCGAATTAATTTTATTTCACTTTTCATTTCCGTCGGTCTATAAAGTTTATAGAAATTGCTGTGCAAGTGGTAAATGAGGTGGAAAATGTGGAACGATAAATCACAATTCTTGTCTATTTTTAAGACAGGAACTGAATATTCTGTAAGCGCTGGATCCGGTTAGAGAGTTTTTAAGACAAGTTCGATTAGTAGTGAAGCAAGCAGGACCTTAATTCCTTGATTTTTTGACATTTAGTCACCCTCAAGTTTATTAAGATCATTTCCATGAAAATTCAGTTCCAAAAATGTTCTTTAAAGTCAACCACACAATCTAATCAGAGTCCATTGAAACACAATCTTTATTTCATTTCCTTTTAACATTTTTTGAGACACTTTTTGACACATGAATGTGTGGAAAAAGGGGAAATGATGATAACTTCATCATCATTTTCAAGCTGGTCACAGCTTTTTTTATGAACTGAGAAAGAAGAAAGTAAAGTATAAATCTGAGAATGTGATGGAAAGGAAGGAGGACATATCTTATGCATACTGATAGGATTACATCCTCGACGACTTGTGTGCTTCGTATGTGATGTGAATTTTTTATGTTAAAAGCTGTATTCTAGATAAATTTTGGAGGAACTTAATGCAATGAGGCTGAGCAGGGCTTTAGAAAGTCAATAGACACATGCAAAAAAGTCGAAACTTTAATCATCAAACCTAAGTTAAAGTCAAACTTTAAGGTCAAACCTACGAAATTCAAAAAACACCCTACAAAGTGTGCATATGGCTCGAAGAGGATATCTGTAGTAGATAGGCCTGAGCATAGGGCTGGCGTTGAACTTGATATATATGTATGTTGGATAGCCGAAGTGAGTTAAGTACCTCGGTGGCTGAGTGGCAGGGAACTCCGATCGAGTGATCAGGGAACACCTCTTTTGAGGTCTTGGATTCGATTCACATCGAACCCGACTTGTTTTACATTACCTTTTGCACCTAACCTCAATTCCTTCTCAACTTGTTTTTTTCTCAATAAATTTTCATGACACAAAAAAAAATCTTATCAAAGACAATCTTTTGTAGCTTTAATGTCACACACACACTAGAAATGAACTTTGACTTTATTCACAGCAAGTATGAACATGTCCATAGAATTCTCAAATTCCTAAATCCGTACACATGAAAATGGATATTTTATGAATTTATATTGAAGAAAATCTCAAGGATTAGGGATGAATCATGGAGTTCGATGATATTGCTTTGATTTGAATAAATTAACATGACAATTGATTGACATTTTGGCTCGGCAAGAGTGAAATTGAAATGGTTATGGTTGCATGTAAGGCGTGAGCTGTGCGAGGCATTTATTACAGCTCGATGAGTTTGTTTGGTTTAAATTTAATTCGGTTTCGGAAGGTGTTAAGGAATTTGAAGGGGTTTAGGATTATTTAAATTGCTTTTTTGAGGTTAAATCATATTTTGTGTGCATTTGAAAGCACTTCATGTTTTGGAATTTAGAGATTTATGATTTTTCACACCTTTTTGGGAATCCAAATCAAAATTTTTAAGAAAATGTCATCTTTTTACATAGTTACATCCACTATTAATGAGTTCAGAACAAACATAAGGATTGAAAACTTAAGGAGCAGATAGGAACAAACAACAGAGATTTAAGGATATTAAAACATAATTGTCTAATCAACACTTAAACAAAATATTGCATATTCTCACAATTAATCCAAAAATACAACATTATCACTTCATATGTCTCATATGTCATCCCCGAAAAAAAATGATCCAATTTTAAAAATTTAATTCTTCTCGTTATTACAGACACAACCAAATACAATCAGTCAAAACCCAAACATCAACACGAGTCAAACGAACACCAGCACGCAACAGAATCAGAACAATATTAATAGTATCATTACCAACAGTTCGGAAGAGCCCCGTCGCAAGCGTCAGGATGCTGCCAGACCCAATCACATTCTGCTCTTTACCATCATCAATCCAGTTTATCCAATCACTGTGGTGAGTTTTGCATTTTTGATTTAATATATTTTTTGATTATTTTATTATGAAATTTAAAATTTGTGTTCTGGGCTGCACTACGTTGAGTTAATTGTAATAAATAAAGGTTTATTTTCAGGTTTTAGAGTTGTTGATTTACAGAAAATGATTGTTAAGATGAAAAAATATGTCTTGACTTTTAATATGAGTTCGTCTTGTCTTAAGGGGCCGTTCACTTATTAAATGACGTGAAAAAATGAGTTTTACCTCTTATAAGGGTGTCAAACTACACGAAATTCGAAGAAAGGGGTGCAAAACTATGTGAACTTAAGCTCAGAGGATCTGAAGCTATGCAAAATTCAATGAAAAGGGTGTAAAACTAAGCAAACTTGAGCTCAGAGGGTCTGAAACTATGTGAAACTAATTTTATTCGGGACGAAGGGGTGTGAAACTACGCTGAACTTTTCAGAAAAGAAAAACTGGTCTACAATTAATTCCTCAAATTATTGATTAATCCAAAAAAATAAAGTTTCAAAAACAATTCAATTGTGCATTGTCAGAATAATTAACGACATAAACTTCTGTCATTTTTAATTAATTTTTCACACATTATTTATCATTTTTTATTATTAATTTTTCACGTTAATTGCAAAATGACACCAGCTTAATTTACATTTTTTCAATCTCATTTCAATTAAAATTCATCAAAACAAAATGACAATGGCAATTGACAGCTGCAAATAATACACAAAAAAAAGATCATCAGTAAAATGAGGATTAAAATTAATAAATGGGATATTTTTTTTTATTTCTCGGTCTTTAATTAATGCTTATAAATGAACATGTTTAATGAACTTAATCCTCCCACATTCACTATCTGTAGGCGATCGTTTAAAACTTTATGAAGCAGCAACAAAAGGTTTTTTGAATGGGATTAAATGTATCAACAAAAAGGGATTGTAAAGTTTTTTAAAATTGGATTATTTTCAGCTTTTAAATATTAAAAATGATCAATTAAATGAAATTGGAAATCCAGAATGAAAAGTTTTCGATGCATTAATTCTTTGGAAACAATTTGTAAACACTCGAGATTAACAAATGAGTTCTGAGCTGATCAAACTAGCTTTTAATTGACCAATGTGTTTTAATATGACAAAATGAGCTCACATGCAAGAATTTACTATGAAAATATTGAAACTGGAGAAGGAGATAGCTGGACAGACTAAAGGACTGACGAACGAACGAACGGGCAGATGGACAAAACGCGGACAAAAGCGTCATTTCTTGAATAGAAAATGCGCTAAAAAGCTTTTAAAGTTGAAGAAAATTCATCAAACATCCGTCATCCTTCAAAAATCCCAAATCAAACACATTTCTCAACAACCCAATTGACCTACTTTCATCCTTATTTCAGTTCTCTCTTCTATTAATCCTTCAACTCTCCCAACAACTCAATTCTTTTTTTGAAATGATTCCTCACGCCTTTAAAAAAATTAATAATCTAATTAATAACTTTTGCATTAAATAAATGATGAAAAAGTTTTTTTATGCTTTTTTTTCTCTCATCCAAGTTCCAATGACATCTTCTCAACTACATTTCATGTTTGATGTGCTTTTAATTAGTCGCTACTATGGGTTCTGAATTTTATGAATTCTTGATTTTTTAGGCTTATTTGAGAAGGTTATTTAAATATGGTTGATGATGTAATTATGAAAGTTGTGGATTAGATTTTATCATGATTTTAATCAAGGCGTGGAAACTCAGGATTAATCCTGAAAAATCCCAAAAATCCTAAAAAACATTCCCGAGCCAATAATCATGAAAATGTTAAATCCCTGAAACATTTGATGAATAATTACGAGATTTAAAAGAGATTTCACATTTCTATTTTTATTTGGATTTTTTTTAAGATTTTTGGAATTTTTTGGGATTAATCCTGAGTTACCACGCCTTGATTTTAATTTTTTTTAATATTAAAAGGAAAATGGCTTGACCAACAATCATTGATGAATTTCCAGAATAGTGCCATAATGTCGTTTTGTCGTTTACAGTCCAACAATACTTAAGTGTAAGTTGCATGGTATAATCGCATTTAAATCATATCCATAGGACAACACTTCTCCATCAGCTTCATTTATTCCGCATTGATTAACGCTCGGGCAAGACTACAACAACAAATTATGTACCCCAAAATTACCAAAAACCCGTCAATAACACCTTTAATTTAAATAATCCGTACAACCTAGATTTACATTTTCTCTACAATATTAGAAATTACATCAGAATTTCAAACACAAAGAAGCTTTCGTCCTTAATTTCCACACTTACCAGCAATGCGCATAAATCTACGCGTGGTAAAAGAATTTAATTAATTTATTCGCATACCAACAAATAGCAGGAGCAGCAACAAGGCAAATGAAAATAGAAATAGAGCTCCGCTAAAACACTGACAATTGTAATCCCTTCACAATTAATTCCACTCCAGTGCTCGCCCTTATTCCTTGTTGCTGCTACTTGATGCTGTAATTATTCAATATTCCGTTATCGTTCCTATGCTTTCTTCTTATTCCATCAGTTTTTCCTCTGTTGTTCCTGCAATGAATATCAAATGAGATTCCCAGCTTTACTTTTTATTTCTTTTATGTTCTGGTTCTGAATGGAAGTTTGTGTGAATGTGTAGGCACAAAGATATATGTGCGGAGGAAAGAATTAACATGAAAATGATTAATTTTGTGAAAGCTCTAACTGGAAAGTACAAAGTGAGAAGTAAACAAATATTATGGAGATGAAAAACAAAAATATTGTTACTTTATGGATATAAGGAGTGGATTTTGAGTTTGGTGTTGTTGGAAGTTACTTATTTTATGCTTAAAGTTCTTCAGTGGATCTGTAATATTGAAGAAGTTTGACTAAGTTTTGTGCTAGAAAAGCTTAATCCAAAGAATATCAATCAATAAGTTAAGAAAGAAATATTAGAAAATAGTCAGTCCTTTAAAGCATTTTAAAGGTTTTTGGTTAATTTCCTAAAGTTAAGGATTCAATGCTGCTGACTGACCTCCTCTTCATCTTTGAAACTATTTTGAATGTTCAATTAGAACAGCAAAGCTCGAGCTCCAACTGGAATCAACACGTTTGTTGCGTGCAACAAAAATGAGGCGCAAAGCGGTGAAAGGACCAGTGGCCTAAGTGATAGAGCGTTCGCTTTACATGCCAAAGGTTCTGGATTAGATCAAGGCCAAGACAAGTTTTCATAGCTCTTTTTCCATTTCACCATTCTAGCTACGAGGCTCGGTTCGTGTGTTGGGTGTAGTATTGACGTCTTTGGCATTGAATGTGCTTCCTTTGCTATGTATACAAGGATATACTAGCACCTGGATGACTTCCTTACGGCATCTTGCGCACACGAATTGTGACTAGGTTCATTGCAGAGTACATCAGGTCTATAGACGTACTCGTGTCTTTGCAATTTGCAGAACTTGCAAGGGTTTCGGATTCCTCTAAAAACTACAGCTACAAGTCTAAAGAATGTGGTACAAAAGATTCTGTTCTAATTTGAATCGCAGTGCTTCCAGTTCAAAAGGCTGGGCCCTTGTCATCCTTTACTTTCAATCCAACACTGTCTCAACCCTCTCAGACCATTTCTCCATCTTATCTCCTGAATATTTGATGCAATTGTAACAGTAAGACAGACTTTTCGTCTAATACTTACTCTCATGCATTTTTTAACGCGAAACAACATTAAAATGAACGAATGAAAAAATAAAGAAATTGTTTGCAATTGAAATTAAGACAACAGACTGAAAAAAATGAAGCAAGAAAGAAAATGGAAAAAATTTGCATCAAAAGTGAAAAAGAATGCAAAATGAAAATGAGAAAAAAATATTTTTTCATATGAATTAAAACAGTAAATGAGAATGAACAGTAAATAATAAAATGCTCTGATTTTCTGAAATTAAGCTCGTTTTTATTCATTGAAATAATCAACAGGATCTGTGCTGTATTGTTGTGTCTTTGAGTACCTGTTTATGTTTGTTATTTAAATGGAATGATTAACATTAATATGGGATTTACTGAGCTTACTGCAATCGAGATTGTTTGCTGGATTTTGTGATATTTGGGTCAATATGCAAGGGTAGGTCATGCATTTATAAAGGAATAAAATTCAAAATTTATTAGAATCGACATCATTTAGGAACGAAGTGGCAGATAAAATATCTAAGGTTATGAACAAATTATCATAATTTTCTGAAATGGTGTCCTTAATTCAGCAAAGAAAATCACAGAAACCTTTTTAAAAATTAATTCAAAAAATGCAGAGCTCGAAGTCGACTAGAGAAAAGTTGAGTCAACTCGGTTTTGAGTCGAATCAAGTCAACTCGAGTCGACTCGAACCTTATCGACTTCGAGCTCTGAAAAATGTTCATAATTTAATTGCAAATCTTTTAAAAGTAATCAGAAAAGTTTATCTTTAAATTTGTAGACGGATCAAATCCAAAAAGGTTGTGTTTGTTTTAATGGTAGATGGGCAGAGCTGTAGATGTCCTGTAAATTAAATCAAAAACTTAGTAAAGGCTCGTTCACTTATGACGTTCAGGGGAGGGATTAAGCAAGAAAACAAGTCATGAACAATAGAAATTCCAGGAAATCCATTGCTTTTTTTGAAAAATGACCGTTAATTTTAGACGTCATAAGTGAATGACCCCCAAACAAAATCCTGACTGTCGATGAGTACCTTTTTATGAAATTTCAAAATTATAATTTACATTTCCAATAAATTTCAAATTCTAACCTTTCCTAGAATTCAACGTTACCTCAAATAAGATCTAAACCAACCACGAAAATCCTCCATCGTTTTTAAATTAATTATTCTCAAAAGAATTTTCCATTAAAAATGATTGGCACCTTTATCCTTACCATTTTCCTTTTATACACGTGTCTCTTTTAATTTCGTTTTTTTTTTGGAGACTCACTTGATTGACTGAATCTGATTGAGGATTTAATTTGTTTTCGAAATGTGTTA